TGAGGGAAGGAAGTATTTATTGCAAATGATGTGCTCTGCTGTGTGAACGATTAAATGTTATTTTTATACAAGTATACATATACATCTATATATTTTTATCTGTCCATATATATATATGTTTGTGTGAGTATTTATATATATGCATACGTATATGTATATATATACACATATATATGTACACACACACACACACACATACACAAAGTTATACATACACACACACACACACACACACACACACATATATATACACACACATATATATATATGTATATGATATATATAGATATATATACACACACATGTGTATATATATATATATATATATATATATACATATATACATATATTTACATATATATATACACATATATATTTCAGGATGTATGTATGTGTGTACACAATACACTCTCTCTTCCTTTATCTCCGCAGGTTCGGAATATGTTCAAAGATCAGGCTTGTCCTCTCATGAAGGGAAAACCCAAGGTTTTCCTTTTCAACTTTTGTCGCGGAAAAACTCTCGAAAGCTTCTCTGGACATAGTATAGGTAACATTCTTATTACTATTACTAACGTAATTTGCACCTGTATGTATATTCGGGTATGTAAGCACAGACAGAATAGCTGGTATAATATGGACAGAATAAAATCGTAACAGACCATTTTGGTTTTTACTGCGTGTAATGAGGAACTCTTGGCGACTTACGTTTCGTTCTAATTCCGTTCATATTGCGGCAGCGTTTTTGTTTTTACTTGCTATGTATGTAGGTATAAATGAAGCTTTGGCATAAGTCCTTTTTTCAACGTTAAATTTTCCTCTCTCACAGGCGACGATATACCTTGGACGTCACAGAACGCGGTCGGCCGCGACAAGGTATCTCCCACAAAGGACGAAGCCCCGCGTGACATGCTAACCGTCTACGCGTCGACGGAAGGCTTCAAGGCTTTTAGGACGAACGAAGGAACTTTGTTCGTGCGGTCCCTGTGCCAAACTCTAGCCGCCCACGCCCACAACACGGACATGGTCAGCATGGTTCAGAAGCTGGACCAACTCATGACAGCAAGACGACACGCTACAACGCCGGAGGCACAGAGCTTCGGCTTCAAGAAGTTTTTCCTGAATCCATTGGAGCCGTCCGACGCTTGATACTGTTCTGAGTCTCCAACGATGACTGCGCTTCCTTGCATGCTGGCGGGTGGGCGTGAGTGCCGGCTTTCGTAATCAGGACCGCTGTCGGCTTTTTGGAATGTTGTGTCCTACCCGTCTTTTTCATTACAATTATGCACACCTATACTTATGTATAGGTGTGTATATACGTGTGTACATGTTTGTTTGTTTGCTTGTGTGTGTGTTCATTTGCTAGTTATCGATTTATGTGTCCCTTATGTATCCATCGCTATTTTGATTACTAAAAGACAATGGTAAAATGATAAAGTTATAGCTAACGCTATACCGGCAATTAATATGCTTTGAGTAGATTTTCATTTTAATTGAACTCATCAGTTCACTCTCTTTTGTGTGCTTAAAAATGATCCTGGACTTTTAAAGAATGGGTCGATATCGACAGCCAATTTCGCCGCGTAAATTACTTGCGCCCTTCAGCTTTCTTTTTATTCCTCCTTCAAGTTCTGTTTAGTTTGAATTACGTTTTTGCCTCAAGGAAGAGATAGAACAGAATAGAGGGAACTTGAACATATAAATAACAATTATAAGACTCAAATGTTCTGCTAAACGACTGTTGCCGTAACAGAAAGAGAGAAAAAGTCCTTTCTCGCTCTCCCCCACTTATAACTAATATATGTAATCATCTCAGTCATTTAAAAATGACTGAGATGATTACATGGCTTATATAGACGCGAATTAAAGTTCCACCCATGCCCAATCCAACCATTTTGAGCATTAATTTTTATTTACTGCAAGCTAATAGCTATATTCCATTGAACATACCGTGATTTGGTCTCAAATTTGGGGATTTTCTCTCTGGATGCGAACTTTACTCAAATGAATCCATTTCCTGTCTCTTCTCCACAAACAGATGGTAATGTTTCTGTAACCAATTTGATTAGTTTTTCAACTGCTTGAATATGGCAAGGGAGTCCTTCAAAATTGAGCTTACACTATTCTTTTGATGTGCCTATCAGTGAACTCCAAAGGAGGTTCTGCCACATCAGTAAGTAGAGTTTGTAGAAACTTTGATCGATTCTTATATTAGATTTTGCATTACAACCTTTCTTGATTTCGGAAATCGGCTGATTAAAGAGAGGAAATTATTTGGCGATGCTGCTTCCTCCATTGGCTCTTCCTTACTGCAATCTATCTCCGAGGCAACTACTTTAGAAAACTTCGGGGACGTCTTATTTTCATACATGTACTATGATGCACCAAGAAGGAATGCTATTGTTTTGTATTTGTCTCACTGATATATGTTATATTGTTAATATATATTTTTAATTTATCCTTGTGAATTGTGGTGACTGATAGGTACTGATCCCTCCGATTAAATAGAAAAGAAAAGAAAATGAAACAAAAAGAAAAGGAACCATTTACAGAGTCATTTTGCGACTATTGAACACTACCAAATATATACATATATATACACATATGTGTGTGTGTGTTTGTTTATGTATATATATTACATATACATATTCAATGCATACATGCATATATATATATATATATATATATATATGTGTGTGTGTGGTGTGTGTGTGTGTGTGTGTGTGTGTGTGTGTGTGGTATGTGCTTGTCTATGTGCATGTGTGAGTGTATATATATGTGTGTGTGTGTTATATGTATATATATATATATATATATATATATATATATATATATATATATACATTTACATATATATATTTGCACACAGTCCGAGAGAAAGGTTGATAAACATTAGTAAATGAAATAAAAAACAATAAATCTTATCATCTAATCTAAATCTTATCTATTTGCTTAAGCCTTGCTGACGTTCCCTCACCTGCACACCAGTAAGCAGCATGTCGACGAGTGCAAATGCCGTGAGTTCTAAGTGTGTAGTGAAATATAATCATGCTTCTGTGAGGGAAGGAAGTATTTATTGCAAATTATGTGGTCTGCTGTGTGAACGATTAAATGTTATTTTTATACAAGTATACATATACATCTATATATTTTTATCTGTCCATATATATATATGTTTGTGTGAGTATTTATATATATGCATACGTATATGTATATATATACACATATATATGTACACACACACACACACACACAAAGTTATACATACACACACACACACACACACACACACATATATATATACACACATATATATATATGTATATGATATATACACACGTAGATGTAAATGTATATATATATGTGTGTGTGTGTGTGTGAAATATAATCGTACTTGTGGATGGGGGTATTGCAAATAATGTGCTAAGCTGTGCTAAGGATAAAATGTTCTACATATATATTTATATATGTGTGCGTGTGTGTGTATATAGACATTGTATATGAATTTGTATATACACATTCGTATACACACACACACACACACACACACACACGCCCGCGCGTACGCACACGCGCACGCACACACACACGAACACACACACATGTATACACACACCCACGCACGCACACACAGACGAACATATACATATGTATACACACACATATGTGTATATATATACATATATATATTTCTGTATATACATATGTATAATATATATATGTATGTATAATTATACACACAAACATACACACACACACACACACACACACATACACACACACACACACACACACATACACACACATATATATATAAACACATCGATAACATCCAGTCGCACGGTACACATAAACAAATATTTTTTTTAAGCACAATATAGGCAGTGATATAAAAGTAAAGTGATATAAAACCAATAAGGGACACAAAGTTTTCACTGTAAAGCAGAGGCGACAAGGATAATGCCAATTACAACTTCAGCGCTCAAACAAGCGGCACAGAAGGGTAGTCACGAAAGATCGATAAATGGAATATAATGACATAAACCAAATAATGAGTTTATGTTGCGGGTTGGAAGTCAATTCCCTTTTTGCACGTAATCTAACGGCGGTTGGATGGACATGTGTCTTGCGTTCCGATGAGAAATACGTTATACTTTTGTACGCTGCAAAGAACAAGGTCTATGTATAAACGGAACGGTTTCTAGCGGTGCGGTGATGCTCAAACGTAAACATTGATCCCCCCCCACCATATATATATATATATATATATATACATATATATACATATATATATATCTACACACATTGATCCACCCACCATATATATATATATATATATATATATATATATATATACATATATCTATATATATATCTACACACATATGTATACACATGCATTTATGTATACACACAAACACACATATATGCGTACATATATGTGCACACATACATATAAACACACGCATACATATGCACACATGGTCCCGGGCTCAATTCCCCGTCGCGGCAGTCGTAAAAATGCCTGCGCTCTGACAGCTACCTCGAGCCCGAGAAAACGACATATCACCTTGAGAAGTCCAACGCAGGTGTCGTAGGGGGAAGTCACCGCCGCGGCACAAGTGTTAACACGCAAAACCGCGGTTGATTAGGAAAGGCATTCAATCAGGCAAGGGTGACACTGCCATATAACCTCTCAATAATGGCTGTTGAAAAAAAAGAAAAAAAGATACATACATACATGTATGTGTGTGTGGATATGTGCATATATATATTCATGTATATATACATCCATATATATATGTATATATACGTAAATAAGTACTTAAATCCTGATATTTCCAGCGGCTCTGGTCGAGTCTGGCCGAAGGCGACGAGAAAGGGGTGGTCCAGGCCCTAGAGGAAGGCGCTGACGTGAACCAGGTGAGCCGCGGCGGAGGTCGGCCCATTCACTCCGCTGCTCTTCGGAATTCGGGCGGTCTCGTGAGGATCCTTTTGAATCACAGCGCCCTCTGCGATGTTTCCGACGACGAAGGCTTCACGCCTCTGATGGTGGCGTCCCTGAATGGACATAGTGAGGTGGTACAGGAGCTGCTGAAGGCCGGTGCGGACCCGAAAATACGTCGGCCTGATGACTTCGGGGGGGACACAGCCCTCCACATGGTGACCAACACAGACGAAGGCGAGGTGTTGAGAGCCCTGCTGGAGGCGGGGGCTGATCCTAACGCTAGGGCCAGCGGCATGAACGACATGACGCCTCTGCACTTCGCTGCGGAGTTTGGGAGAGAGAAGTTGGCTGAGCTGCTCGCGAACCACCCGAGCTGCAAAGTCGATCTGAAAGACGCCCGTGGCCTCACGCCCGCCCGCCTGGCTAAGGAAGGCTGCCCGAGCCTCTCCCTCTACCTGGATTTGTGCTGCGGAGCCAAGTCTCGCATGGACAAGGTACGCTGAAGTGGTCTCAGGGGAAGTATTTTTCATCGTTTTGGGGAAATATTGCAAAGGTTGTGACACCAGAGCTGGCGCGTTTGCATATGTGAAGAGGGAAGACCACAGTTTCAGTAGCCCTTGTGCCTTACTTTTCAGGTCAAGAGATTGTAAGACAATGACACGGAAAACCTTTCTTGTCCCTTTTTTGCAGCTTCTCATCATCGCAGTCAAGAGGAATGATGCGGCGGAAGTGAGGGCAGCGCTGGACGAGGGAGCGGACCTGAGCTTACAGGGTCCAGAGGATGGCGGGACCTTGCTCCACCTGGCGTCCCAGGGTTCCTCAGGACAAGTTCTCCAGATACTTCTCTCTCGAGGCGCCTCGGTGGACGCAAGGACCAGTCAGGGATTCACACCGCTCATGACAGCGGCTGAGAGGGGCGCAACGGACGCCTTAGAGCAACTTTTGGAATATCACGCCAACCCCAAGCTGGCCACTCCTGACGGGACGACAGCACTGCACTTGGCCGTGCAAAGTCAGGATTCTTCCGCAGTGACTGCTCTCCTCGACGCCGGCGTAGACGTCAACGCCACCAAGGTCGACGGGTCCACGCCGCTCCACATCGCCGCTGCGTCGGGGGCCCTCGGGCTGGCTCGTCTCTTGTTAGATGACTACCATTGGGATGGTACCAAGGGCGGCTCGGCTGCCCATGTTGCGAGGGAGGCCGGCCACCTGGAATTCGCCAAGTTCATCGAGCAAGTGGTCCGCAGTTGTGATGAGAGTGACCACAAAAGTGCTGAGGTGACCGGTTTCGAGAGATTCCGTTTCGAAGAACATTTTGCAAACTGTTCTTCGAAATTGTGACAATTGCAGTATGTGTGTGTATGTGTGCGTGCATGTGTGTCTATGTGTGAACGTGTCTATGCCATGTGTACTGACACGTAACGCGAACATGTACGTTTCCCTCAGCTCCCCCAAGAGGACTTCCGCGTAGTGGTGGGCCAGCCCGTGCCTCCCAGTCCGGGCGTGTACCGGAACCTCTCCGAACCGTATCGAGGCCGAGTCCTCATCATCAACTACCGGGAATTCAGTGAGGAGGCACCCACTCGCAACGGCTCTGAGAAAGATGTGGAAAATCTCTGCAAAGTGTTTAGGAGTGTGAGTCGCAGTAAGGAATAAATGAAATAGAAAACACTTTTCGTAATGAGCATTATTTTTTCATACTAACCTGAGTCTGAACTCTGGCAGATGGGCTACCAAGTGGAAAATCACCAGGACCTGGATCTGGAAGCGACTAAAGAGGTGCTGAATAACTTCAGGAGTAACGAGGATCTAACTAAAGTCGACTCCATGTTCGTGTGCATGTTGAGTCATGGCATCGACCGGGATACATTCTACACATCTGATATGAAAAAGATGGACGTCTCTGCGGTGAGGACTTCACATTTATGGGTTTCAAATATATGTGCTTATATGTATATATATGTATATATATATTCATACATATATGTATATATATATTTATGCATATATGTATATATATATTCATGGATGTATGTATATATATAGTCATGCATATATGTTTATATTTATTCATGCATATATGTATAAATATATGCATGCATATATGTATATATATATATTCATGCATATATGTATATATATATTCATGCATATATGTCTATATATATTCATGCATATATGTATATATATATTCATGCATATATGTATATATATATTTGTGTATATGTGTTTGTATATATGCATGTATGTACCTAAAATTGTAAAGTACAATAAATTGTGTCTCTCTCTGACTTCCATTCCACAGGTCCGAAATATGTTCAAAGATGAGGCTTGTCCTATCATGAAGGGAAAGCCTAAGGTTTTCCTTTTCAGCTTCTGCCGCTTCTCTGGAGAAAGCATAGGTAACTTTCTTACGAAGGCTGTTTTAATGTAATATAAAACTAATATCATTCGCACTTGTACGTAAACACAATAGCGTATACTGAAATATAAAATAACACTGCTTCAATATGGACGGAATAAAAATGTAACGTTTCGAACTCACCAAGAGTTCCTCAACAGACCATTTCGGTTTTTACTGCGGGTGATAAGGACGAGTTACGCAACGTTCTAATTCTGTTCATATTGTGCTAGCGATTTAATTTTTATTTGGTTTATATCATAGTATAAATGAAGTTTTGGTATAAGTGCTGTTTTTCAACACTTAATATTCCTCTCTCACAGTTGACGATCAACCTCGCGTTAAGGACGAAGCCCCGCGTGACATGTTAACCCTCTACGCGTCGACGGAAGGCTTCAAGGCTTTTGAGTCGAGCGAAGGAACTTTGTTCGTGCGGTCCCTGTGTCAAACTCTAGCCGCCCACGCCCACAGCATGGACATGATCAGCATGGTTCAGAAGCTGGACCAGCTCTTGGCAAAATGTCCACACGCTACAACGACGGAGGCACAGAACTTCGCCTTCAAGAAGTTTTTCCTGAATCCATTGGAGCCGTCCGACGCATAATACTGCGGTGTCCAACGATGACTGCGCTTCTTTGTATGCTGGCGGGTGGGCGTGAGTGCCGGCTTTCGTAAACAAGACCACTGTGGGCCTTTAGGTCTTTTGATCTGTCTGTTTTTCAGTACTTAAACACTTTTGTATGGGTGTACATACACGTGCGCACGTGTTTGTGTGTGTATGCGTGAGTGCGTGTGCCATTGAGTTCGTTTGTTGATTATCGTTTTAAAATGATGTGATAGATAATGCTGCACCGTCAGTCAATCAGGTTTGGAATTTGCATTTCAGTCAAGTCGAATGAAGAATCATTTGGTGGTCGAGAATTCTTGTTTCTCACCCCTTCCTCTCTCACGCGTGCTTAAAAATGAGCCAGCAATTTTGAAATATAGAGATGTCGACAGGCAATTTCGCCGCGTTAATTACCAGCGCCCTTCGCCTTTCTTTTCATTCCTCCTTCAAACTGTTCTTTTGTTTAACTTACCTTTTTCCGCCATAAGGAGATAAGAGAGAGAGGAGAAGCATAGAAAGAAGAAAGACGAAAGGATTTTCTTTTGTTTTTCCTTCCAAATACCTACATCTGAATTGCTTGTTAGCGTGGAATGGTTGTCACAGATCTCTCTCTCTCTCTCTCCCTCCCTCTCTCTCTATCTCTGTCTCTCTCTCCCTCTCTCTAGCACTCTTTTTTTCTCTCTGCCGATTTACACCTTCGAATCTGACATCATCATGCGTTATCGGTATGAGATATCGCCATGATCTTTTTATAGTGATAAGACGGAAGACAAGATTACAGATGACTAATATCTTGGGAAAGTTTTGAATATGTCATTCTACTTAAGGTACCAGTAAAAGAGAAGGAAAAAGTTCTGTGAGTGAGTAGATATACAATGCACATGCATAGTGAGGTTGATAATTATATGCGAAATATATCAATCGTAGATTACAATATGATAATGACGATAAAAATTGCAGCGACAGAAGTGATAAAAGTAGCATATGACATATCGACAAAATATGTAAGAATGATATCATTCTATATCAACTTGAATATATGATATATCTAGAAGACTCATATGCACTGCTAAATAACTCTTGCCGTTACAAAAGAAAATATATATTTTTTTCTCTCTCTCACACACGCACACGCACGCGCACATACACACACGCACACACATGCACACGCACACACACACACTTATAACTAATAATTTTGATTTGACTGAGACGATTGAATCTATAATTAATTTGCATGCTTTGTATGACTTGTTTAACGATGTGCGTGTGATGCATAGGGCTGATAAATAAAGATAGACTGATAGATAAAGAGATAGATATATCGAGAAACAGAGATATAGAAAGAAAGAGGGAGACATTATAAAGCTGTAACGAAATAAAACTGGCTATTATTACTTTTTTCATTCTACATCTCCAAAATTATAGACTACCATTAATCATTTTGACAACCAAACAGCTATTCTGAAAAAAGTGGAAATAACAATGAAAAATTATACCTTACCAGAGAGTTTCTTTTTGCTGTTACTCGTCAGTTCTCCACACCATTCCAAAAAAGGAGTCATCTATGCTCGTCACCACTTAGTGGTGACGAGCATTTTAACTAAAAAGGAAAAAATTGATGCAGAGAATCACAAATTCTTTTTCAAAACTGTAGTCATTTGCTATTTCAAACGTACACACCACACGAAAAAAAAAAAAAACAGAGATATAGAAAGAAAGAGGGAGACATTATAAAGCTGTAACGAAATAAAAGTGGCTATTATTACTTTTTTCATTCTACATCTCCAAAATTATAGACAACCATTAATCATTTTGACAACCAAACAGCTATTCTGAAAAAAAAAGTGGAAATAACAATGAAGAAATTATAGCTTACCAGAGAGTTTCTTTTTGCTGTTACTCGTCAGTTCTCCACACCATTCCAAAAAAGGAGTCATCTATGCTCGTCACTTCTTAGAGGTGACGAGCATTTTAACTAAAAAGGAAAAAATTGATGTAGAGAATCACAAATTCTTTTTCAAAACTGTAGTCATTTGTTATTTCAAACGTACACACCACACGAAAAAAAAAAAAAAAGTAATAGTGTTCACATTTCCTCGATCAGAAAAATCACACACACTTATAACTAATAATTTTGATTTGACTGAGACGATTGAATCTATAATTAATTTGCATGCTTTGTATGACTTGTTTAACGATGAGAAAACAGAGATTATATGAAAGAAAGAGGGAGACATTATAAAGCTGTAACGAAATAAAAGTGGCTATTATTACTTTTTTCATTCTACATCTCCAAAATTATAGACAACCATTAATCATTTTGACAACCAAACAGCTATTCTGAAAAAAAAAGTGGAAATAACAATGAAGAAATTATAGCTTACCAGAGAGTTTCTTTTTGCTGTTACTCGTCAGTTCTCCACACCATTCCAAAAAGGAGTCATCTATGCTCGTCACTTCTTAGAGGTGACGAGCATTTTAACTAAAAAGGAAAAAATTGATGTAGAGAATCACAAATTCTTTTTCAAAACTGTAGTCATTTGTTATTTCAAACGTACACACCACACGAACAAAAAAAACGGCAGAAAAGACCATTCAAAGTTTATAACCATGTGAAAACGTGTCAAATAAAAAAAATAAGTAATAGTGTTCACATTTCCTCGATCAGAAAAATCACACACACTTATAATCAGAACAAATACACTACTTAGGGGCGGGGAACACGGTCTTCCTAGCCGATGGTTTTCGGGACAATAGGTAGTTTGCTGGATTGATCGTAGCCTACTTGTCGACGTCCCAGAAGGAGCAAAGCGTCTCTGTTGCCATGGGAACGGAGCGCGAAATAGGACGTAGTTGGTAATACAACCAATCTGGATGTGTTTCAATGTGATGCTGATTATCAAGGAAAAATAATGATAAGACTAAAGTGCGAATAACGGCACGTACAGTGTGAGAGTAGTGCCACGTACTTGCTGAACAGCGGGTCAGCTTTATATACCAGTAATTCTTTTTTGGCTGATATTTGAATTGTCAGCATTTTATGTAAAAATCATAACGAAAAACAAATAGAGTAAAACTATTCCAAAATATTTTTCCCATTCATTGCACATCTGCACATTCCTCTCTAGCCCAGTGGCGTTCCAGCTGTGCAGCTGATGCTTAATTAAAGCCCGTGTTGAACCCTCCGTGGAACTGTTGGTCCTTAAGTACTGTCGCTTCACAGGTCATCTCGGATACACGCCTTTTAATTTATTTAGTTATCTATTTTTCTCTCGCTCTCTCTCTCTCTCTCTCTCTCTGCCTGTCTCTCTGTCTTTTTCCTCTCTCTGTCTCTCTTTCTCTTTCTCTCTCTCTCTCTCTCTGCCTGTCTGTCTGTCAGTCTTTCTCCTCTCATTCTCCTCTCTCTCTCTCTCTGTCTGTCAGTATGTCTCTTCTTTCTCTTCCCCTCTCTCTCTTTCTCTCCCTTCTTTCTCCCCTTCTCCCTCTCCCTCTGTAATGACGAAATAGCAATTTCAACTTAAGGCGTGAACTCTTAATCACCTCCGAGGTCCAATCAGCCCTTTTCTTTATTATTTTTTTCAGCAGCATTCAACAACTTTTTTCTTTTTCCCTTTTTTCCTTCTCCCAATCCAATGGAATATTCATATTGAAGTTTGGAAATGTTCGACTGTTTTATTCGTTCATTTATTTACTTGTTATTGATGATTTTAAGGGAAGTCCCTTTACTGATACTATTATTTGTCTTTTTTATTTTTTTTTATTAATATCATTTTTTTTTTCTATTTTGATTTCGCTTACTCAGTTAAACTCTATTTTATTTAGCTTTTTGCTTCAGTATTTTCAGTATTCAGTATTTTCCTCATTCACACTGCTGAAAAAAATAGTGCGTTTTATGATTCTTATTGTTCTTATATTCATATTTTTTTTCATTTATTTCTGTCATTGTTGTTATTACCATTATCGTCATCATAGATCCACAAACATACATACTTACACAACACGCACGAACGCACACACACACACACACACACAAGCACACACACACACACACACACCTGGTAATGGACAAAAAAAAAAAAAAAAATTGACTACAGTTCGTTTAATGTTTTTTTACTAATATCATTCATTTTTCTATATTGATTTCCCTTACTCAGTTAAACCTTATTTTATTTAGCTTTTTGCTTCAGTATTTTCAGTATTCAGTATTTTCCTCATTCACACTGCTGAAAAAAATAGTGCGTTTTATGATTCTTATTGTTCTTATATTCATATTTTTTTTCATTTATTTCTGTCATTGTTGTTATTACCATTATCGTCATCATAGATCCACAAACATACATACTTACACAACACGCACGAACGCGCACACACACACACACACACACACACACACACACACACCTGGTAATGGACAAAAAAAAAAAAAAAATTGACTACAGTTCGATGATTGTTGGTCTTAGCGAAACAAAATAATTACTCGTTGGGAAAATGGGAGGATTTATTTACCCTGAGCGGCACCACGAGAGCGCGATGCTTAATGATCCACGTGGTCAATTTGTTAGCCAAATATTTAGTATTTGATAAATATTCATATTCCTACTCATAGATTTGCATGTTCATTTTTCAGTGCTTTCTTGGCCTGAAATATTTTTAATCAAAATAAAAACCAATCAATATATAGAGCAGGAAATGTTATAAATATATATATATATGTATATATATAAGGAATATTCATATTGAAGTTTGGAAATGTTCGACTGTTTTATTCGTTCATTTATTTACTTGTTTTTGATAATTTTAAGGGAAGTCCCTTTCCTAATACTATTTTTTTTTTTTGTCTTTTTTATTTTTTTATTGATATCATTCATTTTTCGTTATTGATTTCCCTTACTCAGTTAAACTTTATTTTATTTTGTAAAGAATCTTTGTAGATATTTTGGGTGCCGTACACTTAAAATAAATATAAATCCAGTGCGAATGTCAATGGCAACCGAACGAAATAATAAGAATGAGCTCGAACTTCGAATGCCGAAGGACCATACGAAACCAAAGAACAATGTTTATAGGGTATATGACGAAGAGAATGAAGTTGCCATGGAAACAATTACATTCTACTGAAGGCCGACCACTTGCGTCAGTAGGAACGGTACTTAGATATAGAGACCTATTAAGTACATTTAATAATGCTCCAGGCCTTTCTCTTTCTATTTACTTAATCGGTAGGCCTATCAGGAAGTAGGGCAGCTAGGTATGTCTATGAAATTAGGTAAATATAAGAGTCCCATGATCTGTATCAGGAATCTTTAGAGTAGGTTTGAGTTTATAAAATGAAAATTTATTGTGAGTTTATTGAGTGTTTAGTCAAAATAAAGACACAGTGTCGGCTAATGCTCCTGCGTGAATGAAAGGTGCCTGGATTATGTAATGATCGTGGTGTATTAGAGATCAGAAGATAATCATGGTTATGGCGAAAAGTTGCCATTGCCTTTAGTGTGTCTGAAGGAAGACGGAGAGAATACTATACTAGGAAGAATGAGATAATTTAGAAAACATATAACAGCGTTCCATGGTCAAACTGACCTCTGTGTGTAATGGAAAATGTAACAACTTCTTTCATGGAATGTGACTTGTCATCAGAAACGAGAGAGTGTGCATGTGCCATGGCTAGGACATGTTAAACTTGTATTCTGATATTGAAAAAGGTGAATTGATGTACATTTCATTTTTGATTTATAAAATGACTTCGGCAAAGTTTACATATGTACCATCCTAGTAGAAACCTTAGTCGACCTGGAAAAGAGAATGCTGAACCAGACCGGATCCCTCTACGTTCTGTGAAAAGAGCCATAACGGTAAGACAAGAAAGTCCTCCTCTCGGTTATCTCCTCTCCGAAGACCCAGCCTCCTTCTCGCGGCGAACATCAAGGAGGTCGTGGCGGATCCTGCTCCTCCGGCCGACTCCCCTGGCGTGACCTGGGGACGGGATGGCCGCCCCAATGTGGGACCCGTTCTTGTATTTATTCATTTTTATTTAACCAGGGTTTCGTTTTCAGATGACACGGGGCACACGCACGCGTATACGTACACGCACGCACGCACACACGCACACGCACACGCACACGCACACGCACACGCACACGCACACGCACACGCACACACACACACACACACACACACACACACACACACACATGATAACTGTAAATCGTGCTATCTAAATGTCCACAAAATACCAATACAAGGGCCATGGATTTTCTTTCCATCTAAATTGCATGGCCCTGTCTCACAGATCATTAAACTAAAAATAGATAATGGATATATCTTGCAATTACATGTAGCGTCTTGAAGGAAATTTAAAAGACGGGAAATGAGCTCGATGAAAATAATTAAAGATTAAGAAAGAACGAAAGAAAAAAAAAACTGTAATATGCAAATGTAAAACCCACAGGCATTGCTTGTATTACGCAAAAGGCACACTGAAAGTTGAAATATGTTTGCATATCTTACAAAAATGCTGTTTTCTGACAATTTCCAGAAGTGAGTAAAACATTTAATTCTTATTGGAAACACTAGTCTTTGTTATAAGAACTACAGGGTACCAATAATCACTTTCATATTCATCTATCTCAGCAGCCATTCTTATGATTAACAGTAATAGTTATAAGCTAGCAATGGTAATAGTGATCATGTTGTTGTTATTGTTGTTGTAATCATTTTGATTATCTTTAATATTACTAATGCTATTATCATTATCATTAATACTATTGTTATTACTGTTATTATTATTATCATTATTATTATTATTATTATTATTATTATTATCATTATTATTATTATTATTATCATTATTATTGTTATCAAAAAATTGTTCTTCTTCTTCTTCTTCTTCTTATTATTATTATTATTATTACTATTATTATCATTATTATTATTATTATTATTATCATTATCATAATTATTATTGATATTATTATTATTATCATTATTATTACTACTATTATTATCATTATTGGTAGTAG